GGAGCTGGCTGGCAGGCTGCTCTCATTGGAAGGAGACAGGATGCTCTCTCTCTCTCCCCTTCTCTCTCCAACAGTGATTGGATGCAGCCAAATGCAACTACATTCACCTTTTATTCTGTCATTTGAATTGACCTTCAGCATATTGATTTAAATTGACCACTAGATAATATGGGACTGTTCCAAAGTGTTTTAATATGTTTTATATTCCAAGGGCAGTGCACTTTATGCCAAGAGAAAGGAGACTTTGCAGTTACAGCTTATTTATCAATAATGTGGGACTTTCTGTACACACAGGAATTATATCAATATAACCTCATGGTTTACTTGATATTGTTTCTTGTCTCCTTATTCTTCTCTTTCTTTGTCTTTCTTTCTCAGACTGCAAATGAAGCTGTTGCACATTGTAGTCATGCAAAGGCCCAGAAATCAGTGTCCAATGATGTTTGGAGATGGGTGATTGTGACTTGCCTAATGTGAGGTTTTCCAATGGAAATGTTTACTGAGGACCTCCTCTCAGGGCATCTTCACTTTATTGAATTATATGTGGGCCAGACCCATCTCGCCAGTCATTTGGAGTTGTTAACTCTTGGCCCTGTGCCGACAAGATAAAGCACACACCCATGGCTCATAGTTGTTTAAAGATACACCACAAAGGAGGCAAGCTGGTGTTGCATGCACCATCCCCTGTGAGCAAAATAACAAGTTAGTCTGCAGGAAACGCAAGGGATGAGTTGAAAGCTAGGATTGTCTCTGCTCTGAAAGTGTTATGGCATGGATTTAGCTTCCGTCAATGCTTCAGTGACCACAGCTCTTAGCCTCCTCTGCAATCCATTTGTTTCTGTCACAGGCTTTTACAAACTATATCTGCATCCATTGAGAAATAAGACTGCCCTCTGTAGTAATCACAGTTTAATTACCAGACAAGATGTTGCGGGGCCAATCGGCCAGCTTTGGCCAAGAATGATGATTCATTTCACTGAATGGGATAACAGATGTTTGGGGATTTTCACCCCCTTCCACAGTGACACACTCACCACTTCCCCCACCTATCCTCTCCTTCTGCCCCAGGCCTATTCAATCATTTGCTTACTTAAAGTGACAGATGTCTGCATCATGGAGGCGCCCATGTGCCAGATAAGATCACCTATTATTCTGCTTCATCTCAAGTAAAATAAAAAAGAGAGTGTCCTCATGAACCGAGAAGACTTCAGTTTCTTTAAATCGCTGGGAATGAATCCTCAATTCTGTATTCCTTTTAATCTCACACTGGGATTGAATTAAATTACGATTATTTTTTTAAGATCAAACAAAGATATGACACTCAAACAATTCTTTTCAACACCCCTTGTTTTTTTTTCTCTGCTCCCTTTTTCCTTCATCCAACATCATGTACTGGTGATAGCAGAAGGTAGATGTGAGAGAGAGGGAGGCCATGATGAGCTTCCATCTAAAAATAACACCCTCATTCATTTAACACTCACAAATCTCTCATTCTCACTTTCTATATTATTCACCAACACTCTAACCCAGGATCATCACACTAACAGTATGTTGACAGGGATCCCAGGCACTGCCTCAGTCAGGAATATTCTGCAGTGTCATGATGCAGTATCAGTGCCGGGATTTACTGTTACTTCTGAACACAATCATCAGGGGAAGATTTAAAGTATAGCCTTATACATACATTTTTATTGTTTAATTAATTGAAAACATATTCTTATAATAATGACATTCCATGTACTGTAGTAGGCAATGAAAAATCATAAGTCTTTAAGCACTTTTTCTGGCAGGTAAACAGGAGGGATTTGTGATCTAGTGCCTTATTGGTCCAAAACGTGCATGAGGCATGAAAACATGCCTGTCTCGATTCTCAGTTGCTGTGCTCCAGATATCAACTGAGCTTCAGACAGGCAGGAAAATTGTTCCTTTTCTCTTAAAACCACTTGGGATTTCACTGAAGGATGCACTTCTGAACAAATACAGACACACCGACTGGTATAAATGCTTTTTATAGTTAGATGTACTCATGCTCTATTCATGGGTATGAATAAAGAGTGATATCATTTAGTTTTATTAAGACCAACATTGGAATAAAGGCATTAGTTTGACTGACGTGAAATTGAAAAGCCACACATCAATGAGATTACACTAATGAGCATTAATACAAAACTAGCACACTTAAGCTAAGGATGCTATGCAGACCGAATCTGCCTTTGTGTCAAAACAAAAAATTGTAATAGCTTACTATTTCATAAGCACTGCAAGGCCTTTGAGTGCCAATGAAAAATCAGCAGTCATAAATCATTGGGCTTCTTGGATCCTCTTTCACAGAGCTCTCGCTCTCATGCTTTAAGGATGTTTTTGTCACCCAGAAGAATCATGACAAAAGGGCTGATAAAGTTGGAAGGATAAGTGGCCACCATCCAGGGAGATTTTTTGGGTAAGGTTTTTTTTTTTACCGAGTTGTGAAATGATAGCTCTGGCTTGAAGAATAATAAACATCAACCATGTAATACCCCTCTGCTAATGGAGGCCTCCCACCCATATACTCTGCAGGAGGGTGCACACAACACACTGTTTCTCAATCTCTCCTGCCACACACAAATGCAACCTCCACTCTCTAATCCACCCACACACACACTAAGCACTTTAACGCTGTTAAATAGTTTATTACGCTGTGGCTGTTTCCCACAGAACAGCTGATTCAAGGAGAGGAAGCAGGAGGAGGGGGTGCACTGGGAGAGGGTGCATTGGGAGCGGGTGGGGTGTATTTGGGAGGATGAGGGGGTAGGCGGTGTCAGACAGCTGCTGTGTACAGTTGCCATGGAAACCTTTGTCTACACCCATCAAAATTGAGGAGAATTCAGGGATGGGATGAGCTTTGTTATAAATTAAATGTAAAGGGTTGTATCTTTTGCCTACCAAACAGGTTTCCGGGAGTTGAACGGTTTTATATTTCCAGTTCTTTTTCCTTTTATTTAAGATATGATAGTCACGACCCCACCCTAAATTGGAAGCACAAATACTGCTGCAGACTTTGATGCGTATTGTCAATATTGGTGAAGGGTAAGGGGACGTACAACATGAAAACAAAATTGTGACCTACTTTATGTTTTATTTAGTTTGTTCATACCCAAACAAATCTGTTTAAGTTTTATTACAATAGATGGTTAAAAGATAGACGACCAACAATGCCATGGGAGTTTCACCCTAGGAAATAGACACAGGGCAATGTGTTACCTTTTACCAAAACCCTTAGTTTCACACGCAATCAAGACACAGGTTGGTTTAGAGACCGAGGGACTCATTTAAAAATATAAACACGTTTTACTAAAGCGAATAAAAGAAAAAAGGAAACTAAAGATATGGTTGCTGGAAGATAAAATAGTTCAAAAATAACAGAAATATCTGGTTCAAATGAACTTTATCACCAAATGTATTTAAAGTAGACCATTCAATTATTACATTTAAAATTGGAATATATCTAGAAAAAAAACTAAAAAGTGCTGAGGCCAGTAAATTGTGTGGCAGGCTACTTTTAGTGAAACTCGGGTGCTACCGTGCTACCATATACTCACCAGGGAGTCAGGGACAGTCACATCAAACCACACAAACAGCAAACAGGTAACTCTCTTGTGCCCCCCAGTGCTATACAACACTGAGGGTAACTGAGGCAAGCACAAAGCTATAAGCAAAACAAAGGTAAAAAGCTACAAGCTAAACATAACAGTAAGATAACAAAAACCGGCAAAGGAAAAACAAAACCCATGAAGTAAGCCAAATGCAAATCAAAACACAAGGCAAAACAAGAGCAAAAACAACCTACAAAAAGGTTAAATAGGGTTGAAAAGGGCTCACCATGCGCCATACAAATAATTTTAAAAGTTTGAGCACTACTCACTACAGGTGTGCATGACAATTGGAAGCAGAACCAGTGATCATTCAAGATAGAGACTGAGGAAAGAAAAGTATCCATGTGTTAAAATAGACAACCTACCTGTACCACTGACCATGACAGACAGAGTCAAAGCTCAAAACAAAGGTCAACAGGTGCCTTTTATAATCAGCCCTAATGAGGGGAGTGGTCAGGGAGGAGTCAGGCCTTCAGCTGCATTCAAGACCACTGCACTCTTTTTGAGAGCATACCCACTTCAGTGCATTGATTACAAAGACAGAAGTTTGGGAAAGCCAGTGACAACAACTGTCAAAGTTATACGCAATGTGTGTATTTTGGCTTCAATAGTGGTATTATAAGTTATTTGTAAAAGAGAAATACCACAATCAGAAAATACTACCAGTCCTACATCCAAGTATTCTTAGCGCAATGTAAAATATAAGAAGGTTAAATACTTATGATGCTAAGTGTTCCTTTTCTAAATGATTACATATCTAACGCTATCGCATTATTATTAACATAAAAGCAGTTTTGTATTGTTGAAGTTGGTTAAGGTACAGCACATGGTAACTACTTGATATGCACTGGATATATATGACAATCTTATCGTATAAAGTATCTGAAAAAAAGATACTGAGGTAAAGTGCAAGTACCTTGAAAATGTACCTTAGTACGGCACATAAGTTGATATATTTATATTCATCCCAACTATGCAGAGAGTTTTGGAAAAACACCAAGGCGATATCAAACTGATAACCATGATTTAAAGTGTATTTGAATTTATTATTCAAAGCTGTCCATTAAAACTTTTGAGAGATTATGTGGTTCTCCTGGTATTAGTAAATGTTAAAAAGTTATTTTTCTTGAGGAGAAGAACTTTCCATAATTACTGTGGATTTTTGATGACTGGGGAAGTATTGAGCACACTGTATCTGTGAACCTGTAAAGTAACCATGGCCCCCTCTAGTGTTGGAAACCAACCCTGCACATCTCTTACCATTTTTGTGTTTTCAAAGTCAAAACATAGTCTGGAAACACATATAATATCAAATACTGTCTGTAAAAAAAACTAAAATGTTAAATAAAGTGGCAAAAGGAAGCCAGCCATTTGTACAGGCATTCCGTTTAATTGAATTTGAAGAGAGTTATGATACTTTTAAAAAAAAAACACAGAAGCAATGTGGACATATAAACGTCCAAGCTTACAGGCTGGGAACATCCCCAAATGCGCAGTGTACAAAATATCACAATGTAATATGTAATTATGTACAGCACAAAAAGAACATAAATACACAGACAAGCACTCTCAGTAACATGAAAATTGATATTTACATAAAAAATAAAAAAACAATTAATAACATTAAAATGCATTGTTAATGGAGGATATAAAGCTGGATTTGCAGATCAATTGTGATTTATACTCTATATAGGCAGAGAAACGTTAGTCTTCATAGTACAAAGTCACTGTAGAACCAGTTAACCAGCTCATTTTGTTTATAAATCCAAGCTATTATCTTGCTGAATCCAAATGTTTTCATACATTTACATTCATCCAGGTCAGGACTCAGATTAAACCTGAAAGTATAGACACAAAGAGATATTGGTTTGGATATGGGAAAAAAATGGTGCTCAAGATAGGCTTAATAGTTAGCTTGTTGTTTTGAATTCTCCACCACCACTTCTCTGTTCGGCACACAACATATTCACCGGCATGTAAGACAAACAACAACGTCAGATATATTATAAAAAGACAAGTAAACATCTGCAAAGACAAAACTCCACCAGCCTTTCTGTCAGATTGAGGTAACACTGAGATAATCATCAGATCCATCCTTTCCCTGGATATTATGCATTACATTTCATCACATTACACACACGTAGGGATGTATAAAACCTGATAGGGTTGTGTACAGAAATAGACAGCTATTTCTATTTCTATGTACATATTACCTCCGGTTATTGATTTATTTTACCTCTGTAACTTTGCCCCTATGGGTGACAGCTCAAAGGTGAGTGGTGGAGTCCACAACTTGAAATAAAGGTTAAATAGTGTGTATTCAGTAAACTGCAAACTTAAGACTCTTTCACGTAACATTAATAACAGCTTGAATAGGATGAGGATATGAATGACATGAAACTGTACATGATCAACAGTTTTAAATATGTAAAAGTGAAACACATTAAAATGATAGACATAAATATAAGTTGGTGCATATGTTATGATGCGTATTCCTGTCTCAATACAGCAGTAACAATAACAATGATTTTTCAAGCAGCTCAGATGCATTTGATGTAGCTTTCCCAGCATGCCTAGCAGGACTGGTAAACGGTGTTTCCTCTCCAGGCTCAGTTTTTAGTCGCTGAAAGTCACTTTTTGAACCAGATCTACAGTACTTGGCACCACAATAAAGAGGGGGAATGCTAAGATCTATCCCCTACCTTACACTACTGTATTTTGCGTTATTATAACCTTGGGCATGACCTTTGACACCTCTTACTAACAAAACAATCCTCTCAACACAAGCATGTCTCATATTTTATCTACGACAACTTAGATCATGGCTTAAATAAACACATCCTAACGCATCCATCCATCTATCTTCCTCACATTAAGTCTCTCGTGTTTTAGCACAATCAACCTAGAACCCATAGCAAGGCCCTACCTCACCTCTACCTCTCTCGCTCCTCTTCCTCTAATCTCTTTTAGCTCTTCCTTTCCTCTTTCTCCTCCCAGAGCTCTCCTGGGTTTTCTCCTCTTTGTTCCCCAACACCATGGCTCCGTTGGCGGCCTTGCTGAGCCCGTTGAGGCTCCCGTTAGAGAGGGCCTTCCCTGCTTTGGAAAAGGAGGCGTCGCGCCTAGGCAGCTGGCGGCGGTAGGTCTGGTAGTAAAAGTTCCCGAAGAGGACGATGAAGGTGATGGCGTAGCAGATGAGGGAGTAATGCATCCAGTGAGGGAAGTCGCAGTCGACGTAGAGAGACAGGGCTGTGTGGCCGATGGTGACGTGGAACTGGATCTGATACACAGAGAGAAACAAAGATTTGGCTGAGATGTGTTGCAAAAGCTTAATTGAGGTTATATTAACCTTCCCGAATCTGTTAAAAAAACAAATTTTCCTATTTTAATTAGCCACATGTTGAGGTAATATCTTACCATCTGGACGATGGTCAAGTATTTCTTCCACCACAGGTACTTTTGGATCTTAGGTCCGCAGGAGGCCAGGCCATAATACAGGTACATTAAGACGTGGATTGCTGCGTTCATGTGTGCTCCAAAGAACGCTGCAAAATGAAAACATGATGATGATGATAATTGTGGTGCTATTATCATACAGTTTTGTTACACACATTTAGTTTCTGTGAGCCTTTCTATGTACTTTTAGCCACTTTAGGTTGAAATTAATTATAACTACAAACTGAATGCTTGAAAGCATTTTAGATTCATTTTCCAGCTGCATTGACACACAGAGATACAAATAATGATGTTATTGTTAGCATGTATTTTGGCACAAATGCCCTCTGAACAAAGGCATGTAAAGGCCCCTCTTCCAACTTACCACAACTCGCAAAACAAGAAATGTTAATTTGAACTAGAACTAAAGGAAAAAGGGGGAGTAAAGACCACAATTGTAATTGATGGTGAAACACATACAGTATGTGACCTGCTCGAAATCAGTCGCATTGACCCGAAGACACATTTTGAGTTGTATACACTGCTGGAAAGAGGATATTCCTAGCTTTCTAATGATATCAGGATTGTTTTTGTACTCCAAATATTAAGCGAAATATGTCACATTATATAATGACTGTTACAGAGTCATAATTTTTGAGAAAAAGGCCTTCAAAGTTTTCTCTTCTCTGGAATCCATCGATCTGATTGATTATTAGCGGAGCAAATGATCAAAATACTACGGAGGGAAGATATTTTCGTTTGGATTACTGGTCTGGGGGAAGCTCGCGAGTGTGTGTGTGTGTATACTTGTGTGTGTTTGTGTATTTTTGCGTTTGTGTGTATTGCATTTTTTTCCCAGACAAAACCCTCACGAGAAACACCGGCTGTTGTTATGCCTGCTGTGACGTTAAGTTACTCCGTTCTCCGCTTGTAATTATGCCGTTACAAGCTTCAAAGTTGTATTTATCATCTGAATTTGCCGAAACAAGTTTAATATTCTGAAAGCCAAGACTTTGTTTAATTGAAATCAGATGAAAACAAACTGTAACGGACCCTGCCGTGTTATTTATGATTACTATATGCCTTACATTCATAATGTCAGCGGAGGGAGGGGGGGCGGCGCTGCGGAAGAGCAGATTGCCTGTCATCTTCCCTTTACAAGCTTAAAGAATGTATTTATCGTGTGAGTTTGGAAATAAAAGTTTCATATTCTGAAAGCCAAGACTTTGTTTGTTTAAAATCAAACAAAACACCCGAACCCCGAAAAAATAGTTTTTTAAGCAAATCCACGTTTATTTTGAAATGAGCCGTTGCGACTTCCGACTGATTTCGATAGAGCGGGTCACATATTGTATTACTTAAGAGGTAAGATAATGTAGAACTCCATCACAGAATGAGCTACTCACACTGTCCTCCTGCCACCCATTTGATGCCGATCCACCAGAGCGTGAACATGGTGCAGTGGTGGTAAACGTGCAGGAAAGTAACCTGGTTGAATTTCTTCCTCAGAATGAAAAACACTGTGTCCAGATACTCAACGCCCTTAGAAACGAAATACCACCACAGAGCCCCTGCCACCTGTCATACACAGAATATAAGAAACAGGTTGATGGGAGAAGACAGACAAGTGAAGGAAGAAAAAGAAAAAGGAGAAACACAGACGGTTAAAATATAAACAAGAGTTATTCACTTTGAACTTGTTGTACAATCAATATGATTCAGCTGAATTCCTTAAATCCTTCTGCATTAACCTGGATGTCACCTGAGACAGGCGTGTAACTACGTCATGGAGCAGAGGGAAGGAAGGTGAAATTGAACACCTTCCATGATCCCTAATCCGTGTATCTACCGTCCATTTGTTTTTCTTTATTAAACAAGTATACGGAAGAGCGTCTGAGAGGCCTTTTTGCTTTTTACCTTACTAAATGGTCATATGGTCATTGGAGCGAGGGGCGGGCGAAACTCAAGTGATTTCAAAACAAAAGCACTCGTGTTCTTGGAACTGTGATAATATTATAAACAAGGTGAACACAACGATGATCACAACGAAAACAGCCAAGACACATATTGAGCCCAGAAAATGAATGTTATTACGGGCTGTAAATATAATAAGCCTGTATCTAAAATGGACAACATTGTAAGGAGATTTAAACTATGCAGCGATCTGCACTGCGGTCAACTCAGCCGTCTCTCGAGTTTGTTATTATTTTTTCTGCCATTAGCTCTTCTTGAGTGAAACAACTCCCACAAGTACCTTTACTGTGTACTTTTTGAGTAATCCTCTGTCAATGTTCTCTCTTGAGTACAAGAATGCATGTTTCTTTGCTATTTTGAATAAGCGTTAAAACACCTTTCTTCCTGAGACTGATATTGCTGGACAGAGTATTTTAAGAGGATATGGTAGACATGATATCAGCAATACTTCCAGTCAGTACTCCAGTAGCAGCATTTTTACCCCTTGGAAAGTCTTTAGAGTCTGGCCTGGATAGCTGGTCACAACTATCCTTCAGCAAAGTGACAACCCTTGTGACTCTTGTTGGCCTCTTATGAAGCTGTTGTCTTTTAAATAGAATTATTTCTCTGCTCCTATAGTTCATTCCTCTCAGATTCTTCCATCAGTCCCAGTCATTGCATGTCAGTCAATAGAGCTTCAAAAAATGTGTCCAATTCAACAAAGTGTTTTTTTTGAGTCAAGGCCAGAGCTAAATTATAGATTGTTTGATTGTGATTACAAGGTGAGAGAAAATAAATCCACATCTTCCTACTAAACTTATTTTATTTACTTGTCCATGTTATACTTATATA